TAAATAATTTATAAAATTTATTTAATAATATATAATGATATTTTTTTTCGCGAAATAAATATCGTCACGTAACATACAGAAAAAATGTGTAGACGAACGAAAAAAGGTGAGCTTTGAGGTTCATCTCTGTGTAAATCTACGTCCACCTGCGACCCCCCGATGCGATAACTTCCGTCGCGACGTTTTTAACTTATTCAGACGAGGTCAGACATTCTTTTCAAATGATTTTACCGACTCAGTCAGACAGACTAAATCCCATATGGACTCTTTTCTTCAATTCACATATAGTCGAAGGTATGTAATTAGCAAACCGTGGGCCTTAGGTATACATATATATATATATATATATATTGTCATATCCGAGGGGATAAAATTATATTTTATTCGAAGAAAATTACTATAATAATCATTTTTAGAAAGTAGGATAGATCTAACAGATGTTAACTTATCATTTAAGTGGTACACGTATGATATTCTTATTGTAAAATTGTAATGGCGTGTTACGTAACGTCACGTAAATAGCAGAAAACATTTCGATTAATTATTCCCAACGTTGTCGTACTTATCGAACTGTAAGATTTCTTTTTTTCTTTTTTTCTTTTTTTTTCTGTACACACAACGTATTTGGATGTACCCATGGCTAATGTATTTCATTTCAACTACACAGAGAAAACAGATTGATTGATAATGCGAATCGATTTAAAGTTATACGGTTGAGAAAAAATTTAATCCTGTTTTGTGTGTCGTCAAAATGAAAATGAGAAGAAAAAGAAACAAAAGAAGTAAAAGAAGATGAAGAAGAAGTTAGGAAAGATGCTTTTCTCATGAAAGCTTTTGAATGAGAGCCAAACGCACAATCTCATTCTTATAGTTTTGCTAGCGAAAAAAGTAACGCTTTTTCCGATTAAAATGGCTATGTTACTTTCCCAAACTTTGACATCGATCGATAGATATAATATACCTAACCTTGTCTTTATATTGTTTCTTTATCATTTTATTTCTATATAAGTTTTTATTCGTCGCGCTATTCTTAATAATAATAATAATATATTTACTTCAAAGTGTGGGGAGTGAGAGTAGTTTCAATGCTTTTACTTTTTACATTTTCTTTTATCGTATTTTATTTTATGTTTTTCTCATATCAACCATTTCTTCAACTCCGTCTTTTAATATAACACGCGTTTGAAGTGTGCATTTTATTATTTTAAAAGTAAAACATTTCCGAGTATGTAAATATTCTGCTACACGTCTAGGTGCATTAATGATGACTAGTGATATTATTATTATTATTATTATCTCTTCCAATTAACCGAGTTAACATTTTCATATGCAATTCATTTCATCCCTTTTATATTTTTACAAAAAGCATCGCGCGTCCGGAGAAATAACAATTTCTTATTACCTTCTACTTTTATTATTCTATCGTGTTATGTTTATGAGAGATATAGAATTAACACAACAAAAATATTATAATAATTATCTAAATTAATACAAGAATAGTATTTGATCGTAGTAACTGGTAAGATGAAAGAAGAAAGCATATGGAATAGAAAATTCGATCAACTTCAACATTATTTTTATTCGATCTAAGAAACTTGAAAATGGGAAAGAAAAAGATTAAAAAATATTTAAAAAAATCAACATTCTCCAATTTATCTCATACTTATACACATCGATATTATAACGAATCAAACCATCAAATAAATTTATCCAATTTAATCAAATTCATTGTCACAATTTTCGTGTAATTCAGCATGTAAACTCGGATATTAAAAAAAAACAATTTAGGATATTTTCTTGTATGATTTTAAATCTACGCTCAAAGACGAACTTTAACGTAGCTAATAAGAGAGTAGTATCTTTTTGCGTTTCAATTGGGTAAGGTAAGGTAAAGTAAGGGAAGAAGAAGAAGAAGAAGAAGAAAAAAAAGGAAAAAGTTTCAATATCGTAAATCTTTCCTTCACTAACCGTAACAACGTGCTTCGAAATTACATTATTTCAAGGAAAAAAACCGTGTAGTCTGGTGGAGTGCTCGTTAAAAACGACGAGCTTTCCTTCACGAAGCCTTATCGTTTCCGTTTGACGGGATACTCGTTAGAAAATATTTCCAACAAACGTACGTAGCCACTCACTATGACAATCGTTATCGA